TTAATTTGGGGTCTCAGTTTTACATTTAGAACTGGTGCCTCCAAATTCATTAGACGGCCCTGTATAACATATGGAGTGATATACGACTGCATAAGATCCTGAACTACTCTAGAGTCTTGATTGAAAAATTTTAAAAATTAAATAATACTCCGTATGTTAATTTTGATGAATATAGCAAACTATTATTACATTTATAGGTTAAACTACTTTTTTGCACGGTGGAAGGAATAAAGATTAAACTATAACAAGTTAACAACATATTGAAATTTGTTTAAAGAAAATGTAGCTCATTAATCACTACTCCAATAAGATTTATTGGAGGTTTACTAAGGTAAAGGTAAACTTGATTGTGAAAAGTTAAATAATTAGATGAAACAAAAATGTGATCAATTAGATGAGTCCGAAATAAACGGTACATTAGAGTAGCAAGAGCTAGATATTCGATCATACTGTTTCAATTCAAATCAAAGCAATAAATTCCAAAGGTTATACTGTTAAAGCAATTGCACGATCAAGTAAAAAAGCTTCTCACGGCAAGCTAAGAAAAAGGAAGAGAGAGCCGTGCGAATTCAGGCATATATGTGAGATTTGAGTTTTGAAATTCTGCAGCCCGCCGGACGGTAACAAAAACTGAGATTTCATTACTAATTAATTACGGAGTACTAGGTATATAATTATTGATGAAACTATGTTGGATTAGTTGGCATGATTTATTATAGACAGGTACGGAACCAACAAGAGAGGTGTGGACTGTGTGGTGTCAATTGACACCACTGAATTTTTTTTCCCCATAAGTAGGTATATAAAATTTTTCAAAATTCTAAAATTGACGAGTTTGTTTCTAAAATAATGCTAAACAATAAATTATTTACCAATTTAGGGTTGAGTTAAAACTTATTACCAAAATACTGTTGGTTGGAACTATAGTTAGCGAAAGCCACCAAACGAAGCGGCGACTTTCTTTAAAACAAAAACGATCTCCGTAACTGCATATGTTGGTAAGCAAGGTAGCCAATGGGAAGACACTTTGGTGGGACCCATTTTAATAAAAAAACCTCTTTATTTTTTAAATGATTATAACTTTTCATTTTTGATCCAATTTTTACAAAAAATATATAAAAATTTGTAATTTTTTATTGCCTTTCGTATGACACCAATAATACATATATAATTTTCATAAAAAATTTGAAGGCCATATGATGCGAAAGTAGGTATGATGCGAAAGTTATGCATTTATATATGAATTCAAAATTTGAAGGCCATATGACACATTAAGAATTCAAAATTTTATATCTCCTAAAATAGGTATGATGCGAAAGTTATGCATTTATATATGAATTTTGTATCTCATTTGAATGTCTTCCCGATTGAAGTCTTAGCTAAAATGTGGTATGATTAAATTAGACTTAATGAATAAGATGCTCAAAAAAATTCATCAAAAAATTCAATCGGAAACCGCCCCAAATGGCGACGGCCGGACAGAGTCTCCCATATAAGGGCTTATTTGACCTTTTTTGTTACTATGTGGGCTTATCTGCCCCTTTTCTCTAATTTCTTTTAAAATTTGAAGGTCATATGGTGTCCAACTGAAATATTAAAATTCAAAAATCTGTTTCTATCAAAATTTCTTTCGTCATCACACCTAACTTAGGCTCAAAATATATATATTAAACTTTTTAACTTTTTATGATCTTTCGTTTGACACCAATTATATATATAATTTTTTTTAAATCCGAAGACCATATAGTGTCTAATTGAAATATCAAAACTCAAAATTATGTCTCCAATCAAATTTCTTTCTCACCGATCCAAGCTTAGACTAAAAAAATACTCTCTCCGTCCCAAAAATGTTCACCAAATCGTCTTTTCTTGGTCAATCACAATCAATTTTGACCAGTGATATTTTTAATAGGAAATTATTTCGAATATGAAAATTATTTCAAAATGTTCCATCCAAAATATTTTCATAAAAGTATAAAATTTATAAATTTTAGGGAAAAAGGTCAAAAAAGCCCACATATTAACAAAAAAAGGTCAAATATGCCTTTATATAGGAGGCTCTGTCCGGCCGTCGCCATTTGGAGCGGTTCTCGGTATAATTTCTTGATAAATTTTTCGAGCATATTTTTCATTAAGTCTAGTTTACTCATACCAAATTTCAGCTAACAATTCAATCGGGGAGACATTCAAATGCATTCTTGAAGATAACTGTGCTTTTAACTGCGCAGTTATCTTCAAGAATTCATTTAAATGCCTTCCCGATTGAATTTTTAGCTGAAATTTGGTATGAGTAAAGTAGACTTAATGAATAAGATGTTCAAAAAATTTCATCAAAAAATGCCACCGGGAACCGTCCCAAATGGCGACGGCCGGACAGAGCCTCCTAAATAAGGGCTTATTTGACCTTTTGTTGTTAGTATGTGGGCTTATTAGCCCCTTTTCTCTAAATTTTATACATATAATAATTAAAATCATTGTGCAAAGTTTATGATTATTGACAAAAAAAAGTCAATATGGTGAACCTTTTCGAAACGGAGGTAGTATATCACAATTCATAACTTTCGCATCATAACTATTTTAGGAGATATAAATATTTGAAGTTTTAGTTGGATTTCATATAACCTTTAATTTATTTAAAAAAATTATTTATGCATTATTGGTGTCATATGGAAGGTAATAAAAAATTATGAAAGGTGATATGTTTTTTGTAAAAATTGGAGCAAAAATAAAAATGTTATAATCATTTAAAGAATAAAGAGGTTTTTGTATTTAAATGGGTCCCACCAAAGTCTCTTTCCATTGGCTGCCTTGCTCACCCACATACGCAAATACGCACACCAACAGTTTTCAAAATATGAAAACGCGCCGTGGACAGTTATGAATTAGTACTTTAATTCATTAATGACAATATTTACTATTTTTTGCTTTATATATGAATAGAGTATTATATAATACTGCCTCAGTCCCATTTTATAAGATATCTTTACTATTCACTTGGTCAACATAAATCACTCTTAATCTCTTACTTTATATATCAACATTTTATAAAATTTGAATTATTTTTTGCAGCTTTTGTAGCGGTTTTAATGTAGTTTCTGAATATGTAATTATTTTTTTCTAAAAATAATTTGAGCAAAAACAGGGATCTGTTTGCTTTATCGTCAGTCAAACATCGTAAACCGAAAAATATCTTATTATTCTGGATGGAGGGAGTAGTATTCTTCTTTAAAAAAATAGTGCTTTGTTAAATTGACACCACTGACACCGGTTCTTGGCTCCGTCCCTGATTATAGAACAGGGTTCCAACAATTAAAACACTCTATTTCTAAAGCTACAAACCATGCATGTTCGTGATAAACATTTCGACAAGGAACAGATAGTGGCGGATCCAGGCATCGGAGCTCAGGGTATGCATATATATACTCCGTAGTACATATAGTGGTATAAAAAAATTACGACACTACACTACACCGACAACACGACCCACCTTCATAATTTTTACAACACGTTTTCCCTCCTCCGTCTCTTAAAACTTTACCATATTTGAATCTTTTGATTTATGAAATTAAACTTTGACTTTCTATACATATTTATTAGAAATTATTTATAATATACAAATAATATGATAGTGTTCTTTGTTAAAAATGTTTCATAAAAGTATATGTACAAAAACATTATACATCAATATGTATAAACAATACAAAAGATATCGGATTAATAGTAGTCAAAAATGAAATTTAAAGAATCCTAACTGATTCATATTCACTTCGTGATTCAATAGAGAAAAATAATATGGAGAAAAACACTTGCAAAATTGCTATAAAAAATAATGATGTAGACAAAAAATAGCTCAAGAGGTAACAAATAGGTTGAAATTGGGTGGAGGAATTCAAAGTCAAATTCAGATACGTAGTATTTTAGTTTAACTGGACCTACAATAATGTAGCACATATCATCCTTCTTGACATTCCTTCTACCACTTAGGCTAACCCCAACTTTTGAAGTGTAGCCTGTGCTAACCCTTATTATACTATAGATCCGCCCCTGGGAACAGAGCGTAGAGAAGACGAAGGTTACGGTGGACGGATAAAAATAAAATTTTCAAATAATGTTAAGACCCGGGGTTCCATCCTAAAAGGTCGAGGAGTAGCCCAAAGTCTTATATAGTGTTCAATTATTTTATAGCTTTCCGGTGTGAGACAAATGCTTTAACACGCCCCTCAGCCTGAATCGGGCTGGACAATATCGGGGTGTATAAATGGGCCAAACAAAGCCTTAACAAGCTACCCTTAATCATGGGTGCTAAACAAGCTGTCAAACCACAACCGGAATTGGTTCTGATACCATGTTAAGACCCGAGGTTTCATCCTAAAAGATCAACAGGAGGAGTAGCCCAAAGCCTTATATAGTGTTCAATTGTTTTATAGTTTTCCAGTGTGGGACAAATGCTTTAACAAATAAACTTTAACACATAAATCCTTAAAATAGAAATACAAAAACAATTTTCATAAATCCTCGATGGCCCCTCTCTACCTCCGCCCCCAATAAGGAACAATATCATATAAATCTATGTATGTGTATGGGTGTTTGGAATTGATTCTGTTTATGCTTCTTTTTAAAAGCAGAAGTAGAATACAAATCAATTTTTCAGAAACTGATCTCCCTCATCTTTTACAAAAACTGCTTTTGGGAGCATTCTGAAGTCTTTATGCAATTTGTTCTCAAAAAGTATTTATGCAATTTCATCTAAACACTTCAATACATGTTTCGACTTTCTGAAGGAGTAGAACTAGTCTTAAAAATTAGATCCACATATCTTAATCTTAATCTTAAAAAACTATAAGCATGAATGAGGGTTATATCCTTTTGGGAATAGAAAAAGTGTTGGTGTAACTCATTGCTATGAGTGTTTGTACATTGCTCTTTCATATTTGTACGACTAATGAATGCCCATCTGTTATCGTCCTTTCTTCCCGTTACGGCGTTACTCCTTCCCAAGAGCAATACGAACTACGAATTCCTTCATTACTGTAGATGAGATAAGCTACTCTTCTGGGCAGTTTGAGAAGAACTTCGGCTTCAGGGAGATGAACGAAGAAATAAGAGATAAGAATGATCGCAGAATCAATCAATGCCTTGGCTTCGTGTCTTCCTGAGATTGTGGTACCTTCACTTTTTCTCATTTTAGGCCTTTCCTCTTTCACGTTTGATTTGGGGACTGAACCAAGATGCATTGCTGGATTCCCAATTCTCACACCGAATCATCGTGTATGCGCTCTTGCTTGCCTGCTTGGGTGAAAATTTAGTGAAAACATATGCCTCATTTTTTATTATTTTGAAAATTCACATACAACTAAATTCTTGTTGGTGGTGTCCTGAATTTGTGAGTGAATTTCACATGTTTGATGAAATGCCAATTGAAATTCTTTTTACTACGGAGTATTATGTTATGCATTACCTTCTTTAATTCTGTTTTCACTACTTTTTTGTGACCTTTCCTGCTACTAGACATTTCAGGAATACTTTCTTAGTTGCTTTTGATTTTTTGGATTTGACTTTAACGGAGGTCCTGCTACTCTCTTAAGATGTTCAAAGTTGAATTAAGTGAATAGGCTAAAAAGGTTGTATACCCTAAGTTTGAGTTAATAAATTTCATTTTAGTAATTCATTTCGTTTATTAAGCTTCACATTTGATAGCGGAACTCCCCATCTCTCCCATGTGGGTGGATCCAGAGTCCAGACATCATGCTTGTACTAAATTACTCTTATTTGTTGCTATCTCACCACCTTTGAATACAAGTACTGCATTTGCTTTGCCGGCTATCTCGCTGTCCTCAAATTCTAAAATAGCATATCGTTTTTGTCACTCTAAGGTACTCACTGTTTTTTGTGACTTGGAATAAATTGATAATTCTAATAATTTCCAACGACAAGAAAACACAATTTATATAAAAATGCAGTTGAACCAAAGAAAGAATAGTGTCATGAAATTCTGAAAACCGTTTTCGTCATAGTTTCCCCCCTTGTGTGGAAGATATCATGGGAGTTGCGTTTGTGATTTATCTAAGCTTGAGAGAGATCCGTTTGTTTACGTTTTTATGTTACTGATTGTTTCTCTAAGCCAAGAAGAACGACATTTTTTGAAGAATAAAATGACTCTTAAACCTGCTCTAAGATACATCATTATCTGCTATGTATTTGCAGTCCCTGGGAATTTTAGGCTGCTTGAGGAGCTTGAACGTGGGGAGAAAGGCGTACGGAATTGATGATGGTGATGATCTGTGCATGTGTTCCTGGACTGGAACTATAATTAGTCCGCATAATGTAAGTTGTTTGTTTACTAGCTCCTATTTTTATATCATTTCTTTCTTTTACATTTTCAGGGTTGTAAAGCTATGTACTCCTTATAATTTTGAACATAAATACTTTATTCTGAAAGTGTACTACTGTATTATGGGTGTTTAGTTTTTTGTAAGTAGCTTGCGTTTTGTGTTTGAGTTGTAACTTGTAAAGTGCGAAGTTTTCTACTCTAAATAGTTGTTGATGTGTTAGTGTTTAAATTTAGAGTATGCTGAATTGTCATGATTAAACATAATTACATGTGGAAATGTTATGTTTTAGATGGTGCCTTTTCTATTGACAATATGGTATTCAAAACCATATTACTGTGTACGTACTCCAAAATTGCCATTATGTTTTAGACGGCTTGGAGAATGACGAAATCAAGTTTTTTCTCACCAATCAAAGAGCAACGGTTGTTCATGCATGAGTCTTCCCTTGCTTTGTTTTTATTGAGGTTAATGCCTTTTAATGGAACTTGGTACAAATTTAAGTTTATAGTTAGAGATCTGTTTTATATATTTTTAATGGGTTAGGGGGCTACTATGTTTAGTTGATCACACCTTCATCAGATAGCATAAAAAGCTTCAAGTGCAAGTTTTTTCTTCCAAGTTACCAGGCCGTGAACAAATGATTTTCCAAGACCATATTTTCAAAATTCATTCCATATTAACTATAAAAGTTAGAAATGTGTAGTATCAAGCATTTCATTCTTTAAAAAGAGCTAGCCATATTTTGATATTAGTGTGGCTAATGGCCTGTACGTTTGGTTTTTTTCAAATTTCCATTGTTTTTACAGTGAAATGCTAGCTTTAATAACAATGCAGGTGTTTTGAGTAGTAGAGGAATGTTCATGTCAGGCCGGCCTGACGGGCTGCCCCGTCCGGCCGAGCCCGTTTGGGCACCTTCCCGGTGGAATTTTTTGATGAAATTTTTTGTGCATGTTCCTCATCAAGTCTAGTTTGTCCATACCAAATTTCAGCTCAAAATTCGATCGGGAAGGTCGTCAAATGATTTTTGCAAGTTAACTGGTCCGGAAAATACATATTCCGGACCAGTTAACTTGGAAAAATCATTTGATGACCTTCCCGATCGAATTTTGAGCTGAAATTTGGTATGGACAAACTAGACTTGATGAGAAACATGCTCAAAAAATTTCATCAAAAAATTCCACCGGGAAGGTGCCCAAACGGACTCGGCCGGACGGGGCAGCCCGTCAGGCCGGCCTGACATGAAGAGCACTCTTGAGTAGTATACACTTTATCCTTAATAGATTCTATACTAATGTTTAGGCCCACCACTATACATATAATTGATCTTATGTCATGTTTCTATTGACTTTACAAAATGAGATATCTTAAGGTTATTAGAGTAAATCAACCTTAAAGAAGAAATTGTATCTGTTTATATAATATATATCCCTTAACCCTTAGTCAACATTTTCCGTTTTGGTTGAAATAATAAGACTATTTTTTATATGCTTTTTAGAGTATAGCTAATAAAAAATGTCGAATATATTTAGCCAATGCACTTCATGCCCTTTAAGGAGTGTTTGCTTGTGCTTTTCAAAAGTAATTTATTTTAGAGATTATTGAAAAAGTTTTTTTGTAGTAAAAGTTGATAGTGTTTGAAAATATAAGTGATTTTAATAAAAATGTAAAAGTTGAAGTGTTTGATAAAAAAGTGATTTTTGATGTAATATATTGTTAAAAATACAAAAGTACCCCTAAATTAAATACTTGACTCAAAAAATAAAATGAATAATGCGATAGATAAACGGACTGGACTCTATACCAGTGCTGCCTCCTTTCCCCCATTTTCGATGAACTGGAGCCCTGCCTTTGGGAGATTCTTCCTGCGATTGCATCCGTCTAGAATGCTGCAATTTTCCTTACTTTGTTATGGATTGTGCTATGAGTCTAGGGTATTTTCTCTATTTTAATGATCAAATTTAATTGGCAGTTCATGAGAAAGGGGTCAATGATATGTATGTCTTCTTGACACACACACATGTACATAAATATATGTAGATCAGTACTCGGTAGATAGGTGAGCCACCGGTAGCCAAACTGCAGCGTACAACTTCAAGATGGAGGGCCTTGGCGGCGGATGGTGTGCCACCAGCGTGTGGATGGTGGCGGGTGCCCGGATGTGTTGCTTAGCAACCTTAGCTCAATCTGTTGTCTTAAACACTTCCAAAAATGAATGGGGGGAAAGACGTGTTGATATCGGCGACCAAAGGTAGAGGGTAGATTTGGGATAAGGATAAATATGGTGGGTTAAGATTATCCATAAAGTTGAAAATATTTACCAAAAAAGTAGAAGCTATTAAAAGCACCCTAAACCTGCTTTGGACTTTTGGCTTAAAACTGCTTCAAATTAAGCTGAAGTTGGGTTTGGCAAACACTGTTTTTAGTTTTTTTAAGGAAACACTCTTTTTAGTTTATTTTAAGAAAAAAGTTGAAAAGTGATTTTGAGTTGTGTTTGCAAACACTACCTTGATAAGAGTATGCAAAATAGCATGATTATTAAATAGATAAATTACAAGTAATATTTGACATTCAGTGTACCAGTTCCTAAAAGTGTGTCCAAATGATTATTAAATATTCAGTCCCATTATGGCATCTTTGGGATGCATCTTTGTATTGAGAAAATCACCTTGTAGTGTGTTTGAAGAATCCAACCCAATTGCTACTGCCGTGTATGAGGCTAGGGGTAGGATAGTTAATTTCCCGAGGGTTATTTTGACAAACTCATTGCTTCAGTTTTCTTTGTTTCTTAAATTGGTTTTGGTCCCGTGGTGCCATGCTTAAGCAGAAATGTGCTAATTTTATCATGCTGGAAGTTTTTTTTATTGAAAAAGTATATAATTTGGGTTAAAGAATCACACTCGGTCCATTATAAAGGTTCTCACTTTCCACATAAAACTTAGATGACATTTCTCATGGAGTACTGATTTTGATTCCAGAATTTCTTTGCCTGTTGTATTACCAGCATCTACTGTTCAAGGATTACAAATCAGCGCACAAGTGATACGAAGAGATGACCAAGTATTTTTCAGCATGTTCTTTGAGAACCACTCCCATATTGCACTTGATGGCTTCATGATTCAGTTCAATAAGAACACTTTTGGTCTTGCTGCTGCTGGACAGCTTCAGGTGTTAACTCCCCTTCCTTTTTTTAACTGGGAAGTTTTTGTTTTCTCTTTTGAGTTATGCTTTCATTCATTTGCCCTCCTATCTTGTTCTTGAAGTGAACAAGTGTGTGTCCAATAGGTGCCGCAATTACAACTAGGGACATCTCCAAGCACTCTGCTGCCAATGGTGTTATTCTTGAATCTTTCTCCAGGCCCCCTACCCCGCTTTTGCAAGAGTCACATGATAAGATCTCATTTCGCGTCTTCTTTATTGAGGATGGGAAAATGGAGCGTTCAAGTTATCTAGCAAAGTTACTGATGTAAAAGCTAGCTGTATTGGTGACTATAATATTTCTCTATCTATTATTAGATAGAGAAATTCTAAATATAATGCAAAGCCGACTTTTTAAATCCTGTTATGCAGTTCAACCCTGCATTTTTTGCAACTTTTTCTGATGCTTCTATGATTTACTTTTATAAAAAATTATTATTGCAGATTTTTTCATAGATTCATCATTATGCAATGCACTTTAATGGTGCAGACATGGAAATCATTACCTGATTCAAATGAGATCTCCAGGGACTTTCCGGGGGTTGCTATAAATAGTGTTGATGCAACCATTGAGCATTTAGCTACATCCAACATATTATTTTTCATTGCCAAGAGGAAGCATGCCAACCAGGGGGTGCTGTATCTTGCTACAAAGATCCCTCGGGGAATCCCTTTTTTGATTGAGCTGACAGTTGTCATCGAGATTCAGGGACTTAGATGTGCAATGAAGAATTGAAGACTCCTACCCCAGATATGGCTCCTTGTTTTTTTAAAAACTCTGACGCTCTCAAGAGTTATTAACAATTTATGTACGTACAAGCTTCTTATGGGTTATTTTAAAATACAATGTAACAGCTGATACTTTATGGGTTATTTTGCAATGTCACAAGCTTCTTCTTCACGAGATGAGTAGGGAACTCTCTGGAATCCCAATAATGGGTTTGGTGGACTGGTGCAATGACACAATTTTAAATTACTTCTATGATGGCACTACTGCTTCCACTTGAGCAACACACATACTTCATTTGCATCTTCTTCCAAAATGATTTTTAGGAACCCAGCTGGCCTGGCCATATTGTGTACATTCAAATATGGAAGCATAGGGATGGGCCTGGAAGCCTTTCGATATGGTGACCTTTTTGCCTTTTCATTAGATTTGGTGTCAGAACAATCTGTTTGATCGAATAGGATTTGATTTGGCTTTCACCCCAATCTAACAGCTTGCAATGTAAAATGGTTGGGATTGCAAAAGGATGACATAGAGAAACTGGTACCGGAAAAATCATTAGTCCCATGAACCTAGCCACTAGATGTTGTTGACTAGTGAATTCATTTGGTTAAGGACAATTACAAAGAAGAATTGGCATTCATGGTTGAGCATGAGATTGAAGCTCTCTACTTCCATGGATTGTATTTGAAATTATACTTCAGTAGTTCAGTGTATTACATTGTTTTTCATTTTGATTCTGTCACACTCAAGTATAAATGTCTCATCATTAAAGTATACCAAATTATTTAAAAAAGATTCCAATTATTTACCATATTGATAATACACAGTTAATACATAAAGATTAATTAATTGTTTTTTAAAGTAAAAAAGTTAATTAATCTTTATGTATTTCGTATACATAGTGAGCATTGACATACGTTTCGATTTGATTGAGTAGGTTCTCTCCATGGGTCGAACAATTTGGTTCCTTTAAGTGTTTAACAATTCTTTCTTTGTTTTCCCTCTTTTTTCCTTTCAGAAAAGTATATTGATAGACTTCTTATATCATAAGAAATACGATAGTATATAATTTATTTAAATGTTTTGCATCATAAATTACATTGGGCATTTATCCAATCGCGCAACGCGCGTGATAAAAACTAGTACCTTTATAAACATCTACTAAGTTTTGAAATCACGAACTAAAACTCATTTAGCGAATCAATCAAATATAAAGGTATTTTTGGCAAATTACTCAAAAAAAAAGTTACATTTCATTTGTGTCTTAATTAATTGAACTCAAATATAATTCACAGATTAAAGCAAGACTTTGTTCCAGGAGTCACCAAACATTATTTGTAGTGAATTAGTGATAGTGCGGTGAAAAAATGTAATGGCGAATAAAAATGTGATTGGTGAGTTTTATGACTATATCTATATCTATAAATAAATAAAAACCGTAGCGACTGTAAAATTAGAGTATGATCGATCGTAGTCATTTAAACCATTTAATTTTTAGGAAAAAATCTTAGTAAATAGTTATTGCCTTCTACTTGTCATTGCGTTTTTTCAAATATAGGCCACATTTTTGGAATGTGATGAAAAGTTAAATACTTAAATACTTAATGATAGATAAGCAATTTCATGTAATAAATAAATTATAAATAACTCATGTTCTAATGAATTGATATTTTCGTCTTACGAACGTTTGGCTATGTTTCATGTTCCAACGAATCACTAAATAAATACTCTACATGCATGAATGCATGATTGCTAATTAAATTCCATCTCTAAATGCTGACTAGTTAGTGGGTTGATCGTGGTGGGACTAACAAATTAAAGTCTCACGTCACACTCGATTCAACTTTACGAACTTATAACAACTTTACTTTCATTCGATTGTCCAGGCAAATTAATCAATGTCCATTATATTTGGTGGGGGAGAAATAACATCAAGTTAGGAGGTCTCGGAATTGTTGCACTTTAATTTTCCACTTTTTGCCTGGACTACTATCACTTTAAAGTTTAAATTAATGTTTTACCCTAAACTTTTATTTCTTTCATACAATATTTTTATTTTAAAGTTTCTAATGCTGCTCAAAGCTCAGTTTTAACAAGTTAGCTAGGCTCGACCTAATTAACTTGGTGAATTATTTGTTTCATTGTTGTATGCAAATTATGAAATTAATAAGGTTGAATTATGAAATTGGAATTTAATTTACAAAGAATTTGGCTTCTTTTCTCTACATCATAATTTCTTGATCGATTACTATGAGAGCTTAGTATAGATCGATTTTGTACAATCTTAAACTTCACCATATAAAGTGTGGAAGTTGATTAGGTAACGTAGGATGCATCCTTCCTGACATACCCATTGAATTACGGAGTATTTGCTTCATTCTTAAATTGATTTCCTTTACTTCAAATACAGAGCCTGTTACGGTTTATGTGACGGGCTATGTATAATTTTACTCATTTGGCTAAATTGACTGAAATTATCATTATCATAGAGGTCGATTTTAATTAGTTATTTTCATATAATTTTTTTTATTTTATTATTAAGAGAATTAAATATAACTTTCCATTATTTAATAGATTCAGTCAATATAACTGGTTGAGTCGAACTTCATAAAATATCAAACAGGCTCAAAATCGATTTAAATTGTTACAAGCATATGACCATATCTTATCAAAATCTCTCAATGAAGTACTCCCTCTGTCTATTAGACTTTGTCAACTAACCTTTTTTGTGTCTCAAAAACCTTTGTCACTATTCCATTAAAGTAACATATTCGTAGCTCGGTTCATTTATCTATCCTCTGCACCAATTTTAAGTGCACAGTTTTTTACTATTCTTATTTCTCATCAAAATCAAAGAATGCAAAGTACGGGTATATTGATACTATTATAAACTATGTTGCACGAATACGGATACGCCGATTCGCGAATACGAATACGTCGATACGACAATTTCAAAAATTATAGGATACAGGTACGGGGGTATATTGATAAATAATAAAAATATAGGGCATAATTTGCAAATATATAATTCAGAGGTTCATAAATAAAATAATAATAGTACAAAAAATTAACTATTATAATAAAATTTCAAAGATTAGGCTAAAAAAACTAAAGTACTGACATTTAAATTTAAATTCAAATAATATTTTTTGTTCTCTATTTTCATTTACATCTAAGTCTTGTTTCAATTAAAGATCATCAAACAATAAAATGACAAATTATAGTACTCCAATATTTTCCATACTCCCGAAATCATCTTTATCAATCTTCCACATCTTGTGGTCGCTTGGGCGGCTACTAAATTTTCATCATGCCGTGTATGAAATGAGGGATATAGGATTTGATACGCGTATCTATTCACGGATACTAGTATCAGAAGTATTGGTATTTTTAAAAATAAACCCGATACTTTTATTATATTACGGATACGGACCCAATACGTACACGACGTGTATCGATGAGTATCGGTATCGGATACGTATCAGATACGCGGATACGTCATCGGGGTGAAGTATCAGTGCACCATAAATTATAAGTGACGTGTTACACTGAATATACTACGTACTCCGTATTAGATAGAGGATGTACTCCGTATTAGATAGAGGATGTACTCCGTATTAGATAGAGGGAAGGACATTGAGATCTAAAAATACTACCTCCGTCCCGGAGACAAGTTCCCACTTTCCCAAAATAAACTTCCCATTTCGCTAAATGGAAAGTTATCCTACATCAAAACAGTGCCAAACAGTGTCAAACATTGTCGAAACAGTGCTAAACAGTGTCGAAACAGTGTCAAACAGTAAATTTACCCCTCAGTAACTTTATTTCTTTAAAATGTGTGAAAGTCAACCCGGGAACTTGTTTCCGGGACGGAGGGAGTAATAAAATATGAGATTCTGTACATTTTTAAATGTACTACGTACTATTCATTATGTACCATTCAAAAATTTATGGATACTCCCTCCGTAACTTTAAAATCTTCCCATTTCAAAAGTAGGTAGATGAAGAATAGTGAAAGAGAATATGAATTATTGAGGGTATGATGGGAAGATAGTGGAATAATGTAATGAAATGTAGGATAAATCCAAAAAAAAGTAGTTGTAATAGTGTTTTATTTTCAGAATTATTGAGAGTATAATGGAAAGATTTAGAAATGAGAAGATTTTTATGTTACGGACGAAAAAGTAAAGTGTTAAGATTTTTTTGTTACCGAGGGAGTATTACGTACGTATAGTACAATAGTCCATTATGAATAGCAACGCCTTTGGGCCACCGTAAATCCATTGTCGTTTTTTGTTATTTTCTGTCCAAAAATTAAACTCCCAAACAAGGGCCGAATACCAATTTGATTTGAAAAAGGGTGGTTAATCAAATTTATAAAAAGTTATTCTAGAAATATTGGTAAAAAAAAGCTCACGTGGCAAATTGATCATTTTTTTGTGAATGAGACAATTTTAGTTTTTCACTTTAGAACTCTCGACATCTAGTCCTTTGTAGCTATTGGTCAAAAAGCATCTTCTGTGGCTCAGGTTAATTATTGTAAAAACTAACAATTTTATCTAAATAGATCGGGCCTGAATTAATATATGTTATATGTAGGGGTGAAAACAGGACGGCCCGGCTTCCATCTCTAAATGTTTTTACTATTTTATCAGTGTGAATATTTTTTATTTTTTATTTGTTACCATTAAAAAAAACTATCAAAATAGTCATATGTAAAGGTATTAATACTATAAATAAATAAATTTATATTAGTTTCTGTGTCCTCGTGTGAATGTACATGTGTTAAAATTGATAGTGGTAATAGTTATATAAATAAAATAAAATACAATTTTTAACACTTTAGGGGTACGGGCCACGAGTAGAGGGTCATGGTAGGGGGTAGGGGTAAGGATGGGATATGAGGTAGGGGTACGTAAAGGTAGGGGTGAACGAGTATGGATAAGGGTACGAGCACAAATTCGGGTTGGGATGGGGTTGGGTAAGATAGGGGTCAGGTAGGGGCAGGGGCAGGGTTAGGGCCGAGTTGGGGTCGGGATAGGGTTGAGGTAGGGGTGGGGTATGGTAGGATTGGTAGGGGATGGGTAGGGGCCGGGGAGGGCAGGGGTAAGGGTAAGGGCTACGAGTACTGGGGACGGGTAAGGGTGGGTGGGTGGGGGTGGGGTAGGGGTATGTCGGGGTACGGTTAGGGTGGTAGGTAAGGGGCACGCGTACAGGTTTAGGGTACGAGCACTAGCTTGGTGTGGGGTAGGGGTAATACGAGTAAGGGAAGGGGTTAGGGGTACGAGGGATGGTGAAGGGGTGGGTCGGGGTTGGGTTTGGGTCAGGATAAGGTAGAGTATGTTAGGGGCGGGGTAAGAAGGTGGGTAGGTAGTGGTAAGGTTAGGGCAGAGGTAACAGTAAGGGCAAGGGGTAAGCGTAAGGATAAATTGGAAAACTGAAAAATGTTAAAGTTCTGCTTATTTAATACATGAGGGTGGTATGCTTAGTACGCAACACTTTAAGCACTTATTCCGATTAGTAAGCAGTTTCACCTGTCTTAATAACCTAATTGTGCGTTTAGCAGTGAAGTAAACACACACAAGTCTTAAATTTATGATTTGACGGCCATATGTTTTGTGCTTACATGTTTATCTTATATGCTTATTCTTAATGCTCATTCCAAGAAAGCCACTACAAAGTTCCTAGTTATCATTTTAAGTTGAGGTTCGTAGTTCAGGGCCGGCTAATAGCAAGTGAATTGGGTTCTATAGAACAGGGCCCCACATTGCACAGGGGCCCCATATTTTTTATACAATAGTAGTACTACGTAGTTTTTATCCCTAGGACACTACTCATAATTAATGCGGAGTAGAAACTATGGGCCGATTAAATTGATTGCCGGCGGAATTGGATTGCCCAATAGTTAAGAAGCAATTAAGTGTGCTTAAAATTTCACACTACCAGAACAGCGCATTCCATTTGCAGTCTAGAAACGGGTCTTTTGGAGTTTATTTGATTAT